AATGTGAAATGTGAACTAGCTCTTTTATCACCAAAAGCATTTTCAAAGGCATTTTTCTGTGGCAATTGTGAAGAAAAACAGCTTAAGAAGCTCTGCTTTGTGGATTCAGATCTAGGACAGAATATTATATATTCTAATTACATGGGTGACTGTGTTTTAAAACAAACAAAGAGGTGAAAGTTAACAGGATAAGAACAAGAATTTAACACATATTTTTAAAAAAGGTTAATAGCTTATTCAGTTATAAAGGACTCCTTATCATTACCTAGATTAACTGGAAAAAATCAAGGATGATATAAGATCAATAGTATTTTGAGGGATTTACCTTAGTAATTTAAGTATTAATGCATGGTAAAGACCTTGTAAGAAGAAGATAGTTGCACAGAAATTTGACAAAACTACTTACTGCCAGAAAATCGAGACTGTAAATGAGTTGAAATTGAGACAAGTTCTACCAGCCTGACTTAAGTTTAAGGCTATTTTGAGAATAACAGATTCAGACTTCACACAGATCCTGTCCACGGAGCTGTGTTCAGCCCTAGCTCTGAGGGGGCTTCTGTGTCCAGCTATGTCCATGGGACGCAATTCACTCAGCATACAACAGAGATTTGGCTGCAATGTTCACAAGCAGATCCACAGATGACCCTTGCCTTACATCCTCATGGCACAAAGCACTTTATGAAACTTGAGTGAGGTGGCGTTTAACACCTACAGGTGTTAAATCTGCCACAAACAGGTTTTGCACTTCAATGAGAAAGTTTTCTGGGGCTAGAATAAGTGATGAACACTGAATCACTCAAGTAAAACTGCATGTGAAAGAAAGCCAGTAGTCTGACGTCAATCCATTTAAACATGATGCTACAAGAAACAGAATATGTCTACACAATATGTGGTGGATGATGCAAAGTCTCCATGCTGATATAGCGAAAAGCTCAGCTGGAGCACAGGCGTGGCAGTTGACCAAGTTACGAGACAGTGCCGAGGGACAAGGCATAATACCTCAGAGTCGGTGCCGCATACACTGTCGAAGGCTGAATTAATGTACTGCCAGTCATTTGGTGCCTTCTATACTGTGTCATACAGCCGAAACCAAGTAAAAAGAAATTCACTTGAGGCATACTCCCTTGAGTGCGGTGTATGCTCAAGAGCTGAGGAATAAAATTGACTCTATCAGTTTAAAAAGCTCCCAGGAGTCCTTGAAATTTCTTTTAACCTTGTTCCTTTCAACCACCACAATCATCCTGACTTCGTGATTACACCATTTTTATCATCACAGCAGGTTATAGAGTCGTGGCCTCTTTCAACAGGAGGGGAAAAAGTAACCAGCATGCCTTGTTTCCATCTCTCAGCACTGATTCTGTAGGAGTAATTAGCTATTAAACCCTTTTCACTGGTGTACGAATGTTTTTGACTGCAGTGACTCACATAAATCTGTTGTAGGATGCTAAATCATTCTGTTGTCTACACTGATGAAGACTTAGCCAATCAAGATTTTACTGGAACTTGAAAAAATCCATATAAGAAAGGAAATAAGAAAAATACAAAAGAGTGTTTTCACAAGAGAAAGTCCTAATACGAGCAAGGTAATTTTACAAATTCCTGTATATTTTACAGTGCATCATTTTCAAAGGCAATTCGGAACCAATCCTTTAAATCTGCAGGGTGTGTGGGCAGCTTCACTTTTAGGTGTGAGAAACTGTAGGACCATAAGACTGGAGGGAACTGCTTCATGCTTGTTTCCCATAAAAACAGGAGGGTATTCAATAAACAGTCCAAAGAGCTCCACAAAAC